CCGCCGGGCCCCGCGGCCGCGGCCGCGGGCGCGCCCTCGCAGAGCGCAACCAGGTGCGCCGCGGGCGCGGCCGCGAGGCGGCGCAGCCAGGCGGCACGAGCCAGGTCCAGTTCGCGGAGGGAGCCCTCGGGGTCGGGCGCGCCCAGGCGCAGGCGGCTGAGTGTGGGGGATGATGTAGCGAGGGCGAGAGGGCAACGGGGTGCGGTGGGTAGAAGGGAGGGGGGATGAGGCGGGCAGCAGATTAAGGTGGTCGCTGCCGCCGGCGCCGGGCGCGAACCGACGGCTGGGGGTTGGCGAGACCGCGCAGGCGCGGGGAGGGGGTTTCGTGGGCGCGGGAGGGGGAGGGGTCGAGTGGGGTGCGCGCGGCCGCTCACATGACCGCGGGGCTGGTGCGGGATATGTAGTCAGCCGTGGCCAGAAGGCAGTCTTGTTCCTCCTCCTCCTTCTCAGCCGCGGCGATCGCGTCGGCGGCGCCGGGGCACGGGGCGCCGTCGGGCGCCGCGCTGTCTCGATCGTCGTCGCCGCCCCCCGCGGGCGCGAGCGGCGACGGCGGCGTGCCCGCGTCGTCCAGATCGCTGCTCAGACATGTGGGGAGGTCGGACGAGTCCGTGTCGCAGCCGCTGTCGCCGCTCGCGCTTGGAGAGCAAGGCGCCCCGCCGCGCCGCTCGAGCAGGGTCTCGCCGTGACGCAGCATGGCTGCCCTCACCCACACCCTGCGGCGCAGCGCTGTGCGCTGCTCGAGTAGCTCATCAAGCTCCCTTCGGAGCTTCACAAGGCTCGCTTGGAGGCCGTCTATCTTGCGCCTGGAGTGCGCGCTGCCTCCTGCACACTGGCCGTGTTGACGCGTCATGCCGTCGCCAATACTGATTTGATAATGGTATCCAGGTTCCTCGACACGCTCAAGAGCCGCTGAAGTGGTCAGGCGGACGGGATTCGTTGGCCTTGGCAGGTGTCGTGACGGACGGGTGAACCACGATATCGGGACAAGTTACGTGTATATAAGCGCCGCCAATAATTAGCTGTGGAGCGAGGGCCGCGTTCCCACGCCTCTTTGCCCGGGGTGCCAGAGTTCCGCATCAACTTCTCACATAGCCCACACTTCGGGCACACACCCTGCTGCCTGCAGCCGTGCTCGCTGCGATTCGCCGCCGTCCGGAATCTAGAAACTACTCGGTCTTTCTTATTCACCAGGTGCAGCGTGGCCCTGCGGCCTTTCGAAAGTGCCCCCGAAGTGACTCTGGTGGTGCCAGAATGTCGTTACCTGGTGAATGCGCGCCCAGCGCAGCGCTCACATGCCGGACTCTGGGCTGCATCTGCGCCTAACAGCATCGACGTGCATGACGTGCAAGCGACCAGCCGCTGTCACCCAAGCTGGCCCGGGCTTCGGCTGCGCGTCAACGCTTTCGCAGTGGTGATCCGCAGCGGTACACAAGGCCATGCAGCCTGCGCGTGCGGCGGGTGCGCCCCATCCCATACCGCACCACACGCTGCACACACCCTCCGTCATTGCGTCACTGCGCCGCAGGCCGCGGCAGTTGGCGATCGAGGCACCGACCGTGTAATTGTTACAGGCGAGGTTAGTCAGCAGCGGGCGAATAATGACGCGTGTCGGCCTGAAGGAGGCCGTTGCCTGTCTCAAGTCAAAAGTTGCAAACAAAACATCCCTGGAAATGCGCATGAACCAACAGGGAGAAAATTGATGAACAATGCCCGCAATAGCGTGGGGCACTTGCATGCATACTGGCCGCCAGGTTGACAGCAGAGGCGCGCCATGCAGCAGGCATCATGCCTTGCCTAGGAGTTGGGCGGCAGGGCAAACAGTATGCCAAACAACAAGAATTGCTGCTAGCCGAGGTGCCTGTTCAAATCGAATCCCTGGAAACGTCCAGACACACAATGACCAATGCCGGGCAGACGGACTTTGGGCACGGCCCACGTCTACCAACACTACCACTCAAGCAACGGCGGCGGCTGCGGCGCCGCCGTTGCCGCATCGAAACCCAGACGCAACCAATGATGGCGCGGGCGCGGCCAAACCAGCGCCTTGGACGTGTTCCAGCAAAACCTTTCAGCTTCGCATTGTTTTCAAACGGCACATCAAGTTAGACATGTGCACATACATGGCGCAGCGACCACCTGCGCGGCGCTGGCCTGTTAAGCTCGTGCGCAAAACTAATGCCCAAAGGGAGGACCCGCAAACCCATGCAGCGCCACAGCGAGTCTCACCCTGCCCCACTTGCGTCACTCGGCCAGCAGCAGCCACAGCCCGAGCGCCGCATACAGCACGCCCGCGCCTCCGACGATGGCGTTGGCGCGCGCCCGCCCCGTCATCGCGTCGGCGAGCGCCGGCCGCCAGTACACCCCCAGCCCGCCGTCGAGGCTGCTCACGCTCTCGCCGCCGCCAGCCCCGGCGCCCCTCTTGCGCCACCCCGCCGCGCCATCGCCGCCGCCGCCGCCGCCGCCCTCGCCCTCTTTCGAGGCGAGCTCGTACTCAACCCGCCACGACGGCGCGACCGCGTAGCCGAGCAAGCCGCCAAACACAAACGCCGCCGCCATCGCCGAGTAGTTGGCCGCGTCCACCGCGTCCCTCAACGCCGAGAAGCAGGCCGTGGACAGCCCCGCCAGCGTCACAAACGCCTTCGCCTCGCGCGGCAGCAGGACGGTCGGCTCCCAGATCCCGTCGATCACCTGGATCTTTGTCTCTTGGAGATCCCCGAGACCTCGAAGGTCCCCTCCCGAGGCCGCAGATCTTCCCGCAGACCCCTCGCCCCCAGTCGCTGACGAGGCGGGGCTCGCGCCCGCGGCCCCCCCAGCTGGGGGGTTGAGGAGCGGGGGGTCGCCCGCCAGGTCCGTCAGCATGGCCGTGAGCCGCTTGCGCGCCACGGATGGCGTCATGTCCGCCGTGCGGCCGCCGGTGCCAAAAACGGCGTCCCGCGCCTCCCTGAGCTGCTGCAGCTGCGGTCGGTCCAAGGGGATGAGTGTTTGTGTGTGTGTGTGTGGGGTGGGGGGGGGAGGTTGAGGGGAGGGCCCAAGGCGTGGCATAGCGCCGCACACGGCAGTGGCAGCCAGGCGGCTTTGCGGTGGTTGGACAGCGGCCCGACCCCCGTGCTGCTTCCCGCAGCATCGCCCTGCACGCAAGCAGGGGACGCCCTCATTTCAAGTAGCGAGCTCAACCCCGCCTAGCGACGGCAACCACGAGCAGCTGCGCGCCCACCCAAACGTGCCCCTCCAAGGCGCGCCCACCTGCGCCTCTATCCGCCAATTTTTGATGTGATACGCAAGCAGCGCCGCCACCAGGCTCGCAATGATGGGCGCGGGGCCGCTCGTGATCGGCTGCGCACGGGGCATGCAGGTGGCGGGTACTACTGTTGTAGCGGGCAGAAGCCCACCAGCCGCGGGTCCTTGTGCGCCACCGCAAGGCCATCCCAGGCGAAACGCGGCCCAGGCATCCAAGAACCAGGGGGGCTGGCGTTGCCGTGTGGATTACAACTGGGACAAGGATTAAGATCAAGATTAAGAGGAGGGGGGCTGGCGTTGCCGTGTGGAGGTGCGGTGGCCCCTCCATGCTATCCCTGATGCCACCATACTCATGCCGGCTGAGGGTGGGTTGACAAGGCAACAGCCGCCCGCTGGCGCCAGCCCCACACGCGCCCTCCACACGCGCATGCCTACCTGTGGGCTGAGCGCCGCGTCCGCAAAGCCGCCCGCCACCACGGAGAGGCACAGCAGCGCCCAGTAGACGCCGTTGCCCAGGAGCGCCTCGAGCTCGCTGCCCACCGTGAAGAAGCACAGCAGCGTCACGCCCAGCTGTGTGGCAAGGGGACGACGGCGGGGGTGTGAAACGAGGGGAGGGGTGTGGAACGAGGGGAGGGGTGCGGATG